TATATATATATATATATATATATATATATATATATATATATATATATAGTGCCTGGCAATAAGTTTGTCTAATTACAACTAATGTAATTCCTTTAGATTGTATTTTATAAACAAACCCAAAACAGATCAAAATTGTTAAGCGGAAACAACAATTTGTTTTCATTTAACCACAATTATAAATGGAACAAATGTTGCATGCATTGGCATTCACTTTCTTTACTTGGTTACTCATGAACAAACCCCAGTACTAATAATTACCTTATGCTCTATTAAAACATAGCCCATATGTTAAAATTATAAACCTATCATAAATGGAGTTAAATAAAGCCAGATTTTTGGATTGAAAACACACTAGAGCCCTGGAAGGATGTGAGATTACTGCTTAGGCTCATCTTCCTTTAAAGCAATAACCCCAAACAAAAAAATAAGAGGGCTACAATGGAAGGTTTTAGATTAGGATGGCCACATTTAGACCAAGATTTAACTGAGAATATTCGACATGATCTTAAAATTGAGATGAAAACTAGGCATACATCAAAAAGCCGGTAGAGACATCAGACTTGCAACTGTAAATACATTCAAAGTTTTATTTGTTCAAAAACAGTTATTCTAAACCCCAAATCTTATTCACCAATCTGTTTTAGGGTCTTACTAAAAAAAATAAGGTCGAGAACTCTTATTTTGTAAAAGAAAATTGCCTTTTGTCCTACGGGTCCATAAAGGCTACACAGTCGTCCATTGGTTAACTTGGCTGTCAATCAGAGCCTTTCTCCTCCCACGTGGTGACGTCCACCTCTCCAAAGTAACGAGGACAGTCTATTACGCACACAAAAGACACAACAAAAGCCAGTGTTGGGAAAATGAGATCCGTCAGCACCCAGAGGACGCAACAATAAAAGTTCCCACCTGGCAGCATCACACGTGGACCAGACCCTGGGACGAAGACAATCACTGGTTTACCCCTAAAAAACAAATAAAAAAAATAAACATTAGCAGAAAGTAACAACAACAACCATCAGGCTGCAGTTTCCCCACCGAGCTGCGCTTTGATCTGTCTCAGGTGGTGAGTAGATCCAACTCCAGCACAACAATGTTTTTATTATTGCATCTGTGAGGAAGATTTGGGTTCTGGTGCCGTGTTGGGTTCACTGTCACAATGCAGAAACAGTAAAAGCAGCTCAGCCACACTGTTGCGCTTCTGTTGCGTCGAGCTCTTTTGTTGGGTTGTTGTTGGCTTGCGAAAAAAATAAATAAAACACAGTCTAATAAGCGTATTGGAAAAAGGGGTTCCCAAGATGAAATATTTCAGATGTGGAGAAAAGATGAATGCTTTTTAGTGTCTATTCTAACAGATGAGGACAGTGACGCTTTTGTCTGGACACCTCTTCCTGTTCGCGGTGACCAGAGACGCACCAGAGCCGCTTCTTTGTTTCGCTCATCAGCTGATCCTGCTTTGCTGCGCTCACCTCACTTAGTTTTCACTTTCTGTCCTGCAGTAGAAAACATGTTAAGAACAAAGACCTGATCAAAAAGGAGGAAATAGACTCGAACAGGAGAAGATGCAATTCTACTGCATGATAATTAGTTTGTTGAACCTAAATCATTTTAGAAATGCGTTTTCTGCTTTTTGTTTCATTGTTCATTATAGAAAACATAGCTGATACTTAGAAAAGTCACCAAAACAAACGGAAACATGCTCTGCAGACTTTGTTTTCTTGTCCATATGGGGTATTATTGAATAAATAGTTGTGAGTGTGCGTCATATGAAACAGTCATTGGAGACAAACGACCAGCTATTGTTTGCACCGATCAATCATCCAAATATAGGAATTAGCAGATAGTTTTTCTCCTTCTGATTGGCGACTGGACTTTTAAATGGAGTATTATAAGCATCAAAACTAAGAATTCCTACAATTTCTGGCGTTTAAATGTATCAAACTACAGCAGCAAAGCTGATGCATTTGTTTAAAAAAATATTTTTATAAAAAAAAAAAAAAATATACTGATGCATTTGTTTAAAAAAATATTTTTATAAAGATAAAAATAGCTTAATACAAGTGAAGTTACCTGATTTGTAAATGAAAATCTTCAAATGTCTCCAGATTCTGCAGACATCTGTAAGATGATTTCTTATTTAGTTGAATTTCATTACAGAAACAAAAGAAATGGTTGAAACCAAATAACACCCTTAGCAGACAAAGACAACGGTCCAGAAAATGCCTGATCAGCGTTTGTTTTTGCTATTTTAAATTTAGAATGCTCTAATAAAACCAGATATTGGCTCACATTCTTCTTTGTAGCCATGGTAAAATATGCAGCCTCTGCCAGCTTCTTAGCAGGCTAATATACAACAATAGGAGGGGAAGAAGCACCAATTCATTACTCTTTTATGTATGTGCCTGCAAAAAAAAAAAAAAAATCATGCTGGCACTTCATCAGGCATCCCATTTATAGGCCCATTAGAATGGTGTGACGGTAAACGTCTCAAAATCTTAATATGTCAACTAAGAAAAAAAAAGTTAACACATAAGGAGGGAAAAAGAAGTAGATTTTGCTTTAGTTTCCTCTAAAGAGAGAAGAAAATAAAACTGTTAAACAACCGTCCAATCAGCCGAAATCACCTCAATCAGATGCTTTTCAAATTGCATCCAAACTAAATAATCCTGTAAGTTTTGGTCTAATCGATGAGAATAAAAAAAGACATCCACTTCCCTTTTGCTTTATTTCTTAAAGAGGGGAAACATCTTGAGATGTATTTATTCTCTGTTGGATTGAAGAATGCCTCCATTTACACAGCTTCCCATCTTTGCTCTCTGGTCCCACTGACCTTGAAGGTATTTTGGAGAATTTTAGTGATTTTTTAAAAGATCTGCTCTCTCCACTTAAAAAGAAAAAAAATGCACATGCACAACCCTGTACCTGCTCCTGAGATGGAACATATATTAAACATATATATAAGCATTCTGGGATCTATCTGCCTCCTCTGAGGCTTTTCTTTTCTTCTCATACACTTCGTAGTTCCTTTTTCTCTCATGACCCTTGGCCATTTTCATAGAACCGCGATTAGAAAGGAAGCTTCAATGACTGTCTGAAACCATAGCTCAACACAGATATACGCCTGAAAGTACGCATGCTCAGAAAAAGATAGCTAACGGGGCGAGGACCTAGGACGGCCTTACGTAAACATATAACCAGAATTATTGGCAATTAGGAGGACAACTTATTTAGATGATCCCCCTGGAAATAAAAGATCATCCTCTTAATGTACCATTGCTTTCATAGCTAAAAGGAATACTGAGTTAGATAAAAATGAGAAAGGTATAGGAGTCGAGTGACCTGCAAGCACAGCAACAGGTGGGTGAGGGACAACCACTGATTTGGTCCATGCCTCATACAGCTGCATAAAACACTCTGGCATCTTCCTAGAAGGACTTTAACTCGCTGTAACGCTATAAAGGATATTTAAAGAGGCTTTAACAACCTGTTGCACATAGAGACCACCCTCTGCATATTCCCAACTAGATGTAATAATAACATAATAGATGTGCAAACAGAAAAGATTGTTGTTAGATGCCCCAAAGTCAGGAAGAATCCAAAACAAACACAGGAACTTGCTCTGTGGGTTGTGTTTAATTGTCCATATTGGGTATAATTGAATAAATATTTGAGAGTGTGCGTCATGTTGAGCTGCCAGTAGGACAAACAACCTGCCATTGTATGTGTGTGCAGTGGACAACCCTTCCTGTCTCCAGAGAGCTCGTTTAAAGAGTGATGATGATGCTGAGGTGTGACATTAATAAAGCTTTTTTTGTGTGTGTGTGTGTATGTGATCACCTCTCAAATGTGCACATGCCACTGAGTTTAAACTGGGCTAATTCACAGAGAGGATTTTGTCCTTTTCATGCAGGGATTATGCCTCCAGCACCTGTGCAGATTATGCACCCTGTATGTAAATATGACTCGTCTGGAGGCTCCCTAGTCTTTAAAGCCAGCTCTGTTTATGGTTAATATTTTTATCCAAAGGTGTGTTTGCAGAGCAGACACGCTTTACGTCACAACCTGCTTCCTGTTAAGTTGCGGAAGCCCCTTTTGTTTTTCTCGTCTGGCCGCTGGCTTCTGTCTCGACTCTGCTCTTCCTGTTGCAGCGCACCCAGCTCATTTGGAAACTTCCCGAGTCACTGAAGCTTGTTTTTAATGCAGTGTTTTTGTTTTCCCCCTTTCACGTTGTCCAACCGCTGTCACGCACATACAATAAGTTTTCAGAATAAGCAGCTTTTAAGGACAAAAGGCATTTTTAACATTAGCCCCAGCTTTGAGTTTTGTTCAGGTTAAAAACAAACCTCGACAATATCTAGTTTCGACTTTTGCTTATAGACTGATGGTTAAAATGAAGAAGTATTACAAAATGACATTAGAGTTTTTTTTATTTGTCCAATATCTAATGAAATTATGCATATTTAAAGGTCCAGCTGGTCAATCAGATCCTAATTGGACCAAATATGTAGTGCTTTTTTCTGCAGACTGTTGTTTTGAAGCCCTTTAACGACCATTAGTTGTGTATTTCACATGAAATGTATTATGCATTTCAGAGACGACAGGATCAACCTGTTCCATGACTTTTCCACCTTTTATTGTTGCTCTTTCTGTCAGTTTCTGTCTGTTTGATTCATTTCAAATAAGTTAAATGTGCACTGCTAAAATATGTTCATACATTCAATAATCTATAACCAAGTCAGTGGATTGAATGTCTTCTGGGTAAACATTAACAAATGTACAGCAGTCCATCACAGCCTGCTGTGTGAGATCCAGGCTGTGAACCTCATTTGCATTTAAAGTGAGGAAGTGACATCGGATCACTTGAGGCGACTGTGGAGACGAACACCAGGTGTAAAGTGATGCTTTAGATAATTCCCCTTCAAGAGGAATATTACCACCAGCAGCATTCAGCATCATAGCTGCAAGCAGCACTAACCGAATTATAAAAATGTCTATAGAGTAGATTTTAGTTGACACGAGTAATTTATGATAATTTTATTAGGAAATATATGAAGAGGGCTGAAACAATTAATCAGATTAATCTCTTTAATTGATTATTTAAATAATCGCCAGCTAATTTAGTAATCGATTAATCATTAACTCAGGCTTTCCGCACTTTTACAGTTTTCTGGAAGTTTGTTCCAGATAAGTGGAACTTAGAGCAGGAATTATACCAAGATTGTAAAAAAAAATCTATAAAATTTTGGGTTTAAGATAGAAAAAAAAAAAATCGTGGGAAAGTTTGAGTTTTAGCTGACTTAATTTTGTAAAAAATCTAATTTAAAGAAACTTTGGCTATATGATTATTAACTTAAAAGTTGAATTGAGTATTAATGAAGAGGCTAGGTGAGTAAAATATAGGTACAAAAGGAAACACATGTTTTAAACATTTTGGTTTGTTTATCCTAATATGCTTTTCTTTAAAAACATCCATTTTAAAAGCTACTATTCCTTTCTTTTCCAACCAATTTTTGTAGTTAATAGTGTAACAGTTGCTGCAGGCATTATACAATTGAACATTTTTAAAATTTGTTTAGTTCCCTGAACATATATATCTTTATTAGTGCTATAACTTATGATTATATTGCAAATTGATTAATCTATTGATTATTTTTTCGATAAATCAATCAATAATCGTATAGCAAAAGGTTCCTTAAAGAGGACTTTTTGCAAATTTGAACCAGTTGAAAGTAAAACTTTTCCACTTTAGGAGTTCTGGATAGCGCATATTGACAGACAAAAAAGATTTTTAACTTAAATGCAAAATGGTTACATTTTTTTCATATAATAACTGCTCTTAGTGGGTTCCTCTTTCAGCTAAATGCATGTAGTAGAGTCTCTACACTCCAGTTAGTGATTTATAGATTACTAACTTAGTTGACAATTATTTCAATAATCGATTAATCAGACTAATTGTTTCAGCCCTAATCCCTGTCATCTTTCTAAATCACCTTGTTTTTGTCTACTTTTGATATAGCAGCCACATTGCTATATACAGTGAATGTAAAAGAAAGTAATAATGTTTAAAAAAAAAAAGTGGACACCTGTACCACTTACAACCGTCAGGAGTTGACTGCTGTGGTTGCATTCATCTAATATTTTCCAATAAATGCCAATGAAAATAGTATTAAACATCATATAAAGAGGAACTTGATTTACAATTCTAGCATGCATGTTTTTGTATGGCTAATTGGTAGGGCTATCTGTTTCTGTAAGCTGTGATGTTTTGTGAATAATGTTTTTACCTTTTCTTTTTTTGCAAATTGAACTTTTTTTTTGCAGAGCATATATAGATTAAAACAAACAAAACAGTAACCTGTACTCTTCAAATTGGATGTTACAAACAGCAGCACAGTCATTATTAAAAGACTAGGAGGAAGGTGTTAGGAAATGGTCTGAGGTCACCTGGTCTGCTCATTATTTACTTTGTTATATTCATAACTACAGGGGGAATGCGGATCAATGCGCATCCTTCTGCGCTTTTACATCTCCTCGGAGCTGAATAATGTATTTGATTAAAGCCACTGAGGCAATAGTCTGGAGTTTAAGTATGTGGTTATAGATGGAAAGACGAGGATATCATGCACTGATGAGTTATTACCAACATTAAAAAACACACAGCTAACTTACTCTTTATTTTTGACTCCTAAAATCAGATCCTCCATCTAAATCTCTTATGTTTGTTTTAAACAGACAGCAATCACTGCCTGTGGGGTGATTCCATTTACCTTGGGTGCAGGTTCAACCCGCATTTAAGAAAAAGTTTTCTCAGTTTATAGGTACAGCAGCGAACAGCTCAACCAATGCTTATATCATAGCAGAGATGTTAGAGGGTGGAGTTTTTGAAACGCCCGAGAAACGGAGAAGTTGAAAAACCAGTTGCTTAAGCTTCATAAAATTAGAGGCAAAATTACAATCTTTATTTTAACTTATGTAAGACATCCCCATCAATCACTGGGCAAAGAGCGCAGCAGAAGATTTTAGGCCTGTAATATTCTAAGATGTTTTCATATTTCCTTTCCAAAATTTGCTCATTCATCAAACATTGGCAAGATTTGATGTAATGATCATTGTTTATTTCTCCAGGCTGTTCACCTGGAAAGGTACTGTGACTTAAATTTCATCCTGAGTGTTGGTCCGATAAGGCCGACCCTGGTCCTCATGCACCTCTGTCCTGCAAGTACAAGTTCTTAAAAGGCTTCGGCACGTGATAGGATGCAGAAGAGGCCATGCAATAATTGGATCACGTGCGTTAGAACCGTCTCACATCTATAATATAAAGAACAGAGGAGGTTGAGAACCATTTTATTTGGGTTCACTAACTTTTCTGTGGAAAATGTATGTTTCTAATTGGAGTTTAATCATTTTTATGTCTATTTATTGAGTCAGTTATGTCAAGCTGTAGTAACCATCAACCACCACTAGGAGAGAGACTGATCAACATGTTAAATAATAAAATTTTCAAGTTTTTCTTGACTCTTTAAATATGTTGATGTTTTGCTTTGTTGCTCTAGTTTAAATTCAGCCCTCATACAAGTTAGTTTCTACATCCTCCATGGAAAATTCCAATATCTTGAATTTGGTCTGTCTGATGTTTTGAAAAATACAGGGAGCCTCATAAAACCACCTTTACCTATACACACTTTGTGTATGTAATCAGAGGGTAAACCACAAATTTTCATTTAGCAGTTTTCACAGAGTGCACAGAAATGAACATCTCTTCTCAGGTAAAACCAACATGTAAGGACCTGCTGCACTATTTACAAAGCAAAAATGTTTGCAAACTTTTTCATAAGAGCTCTGTAGTCTCAAACTCAGCCTCTGCCAACAAACCAGCTGCAGCCTGGCTGCACATCCAATGTGTTTGTTTACAGAAACAAGAAACAAGTATTTTATTTGACAGCTGAGCCTTTTAGCAGAGGCTGGCTGTAAACCACCGACTCGAAACAAATTTAAAACAATTAATAAAGTGAATTGTATCGACAAGATAAATGGGAAGGTCATAAAAGACTATAGCCCAGAATGTAAACTGGAACAAACCTTTTCAGTGTTATTAATGGAGGACTGGTGCATTTTTTAAGATTTAATGCTACCTTTGATTTGATCTGCAGCACAGTAGGAGGTGAAGCAGAGCTTCTTCTCTTTAAATATTTGTCTCTATTGTACACCTGCAGACGTTTCTTTCAACCTCTGCATGTTTCGTCTATTCTTGTTTGTCCTGTTTATGGCATCAGCAAGTGAGAAATTGCTTCTTTGCAGCTTTCAGATCTAAAAATAGAATACATGTTTATTTTTTAAAGATTTCTTTCGATATATTGCTTATTAAGTGGAGCTCCAGAACATTTTTGAATCACAATCATCAAAGTATCAATGCATGCACAGTGATGGTCATTAAAGAGGGTTCTGGTACTTTGGGCCGTGTGTTCAGTTGCCAAGTCCTGCAAAACGAAACCAGCTCCTCCAAAAATCTTGTCAGCATCTGTTTGACAGCTGGAGTGGCTTTGATCTTGATAAAACTTATTTGTCCAACACCAGCAGATGTCAAGGCTTCCTAAAACTACGTGGCAACTTACCCTTAAAGCTGTCTCAAGCAGCAGTCCGTACATTTCTGAATCTCTCCCAAACTCTTGAATGCGCTTCACAGTTTCCTTAAAAATGTTTCTAACACAGAATGGGTTTAATGTTATTTTCCTTCCACTCAATTTCCCATGAATCTTAAATAAATAAATTCCTGTGTGAGAAAAAACAGCCTTTCTCTGGTCTGCTGTCTTTATGATGATTGCTGGTTAAAACCCCTCTCACCAGTCTGGTGAAATTAGTTGTACACTACAGTCATGAATCAAAGCCTGATAGTCACAAATGTCAGTATTTTTTTATTTGAAATACTCTAATAAATGTTCTGATCAGTAAGTTTAATCACTATTTAGTATTAGATGCATTCAGAGGAGCATGTAGTAGGATATAGGTTTAATATAATATATTTTTTTGGTACCATAACTAAAACTCAGCTTGCCAGTAACATTTTTACCATCTTAGATGGATTTTTAAGTCCTTTACACAAACATATGAGGTTTATCTTAATAACCATGATGTGAAAGTTCAGAGTTTCTGCTTAGAGTAAAAAAGCAATGACTGTTTTTTAAGTACGTAATAAAATGGGAGGTCTTCTGTGTATTAACTAGATCCTTTCAGATCATGTCTTAGTATTCTTGTCTAATAGAATTAAGTGTTTTAAAATAGTTTAGACTATTGTCAGTCTGACCTCTAAGGGATTAATCTCTTTAAGGTATGCTCACCTTTATTCTTGAAACCACATCCCTCCTGCAAGCCACCATCTCAAAATCAGATTTGTTTCCCTTCTTTTGCAGGAATTTGTTTTGCACCTCTCTGTTTGTTGGGACTAAACAATTCAGATATGACAAATTAGCAAGTTTGTTTCCAACAGAATCCCACGACTTTGTGATTTTTACATTATTTAGTTACTTCCCGGACTAACGTGAGATTGTAATCATGAGGTGGATTATTGTAATCAAATGATTGCTCCAACAAATGAGCTGCGTTCTTACTGGAAATATAATCAGGATCATGTTTACTAAAAATAGCAGGTGTAGACCATGCCTCTAACCGCATCACCTCTGTGGCTTCTCCTCTGCAGGCTCGATTTTCTCCTGTGGTGTCTGTGTGGAGCGTGCCACACACCCACTCCACAACAAGACGGCTTTTGCTTGCATCTTCCAGTGTTTCTTCTGTCAGCAAGTACAGCAGAGCTGCAACTCTTCCAGTGCCAGCCCTGACACCAGCGAGGAGCCCTGCCCCACTGACATGGTGAAGATGACCAAGTCGAAGACCTTCCAGGCCTACCTGCCATCTTGCCACCGCACATACAGCTGCATCCACTGCCGAGCACACCTGGCCAACCACGACGAGCTCATCTCAAAGGTATGACCGCTCTGTTTTAGTTTGCACCCCATCGTCGACACTTCCTATATAACCTACCCACCAACTGCCATTGCTTCCATTGATCTTCATTCAGACAGAAAATAGCTTGAGGAGTTTTCTTTTTTTGCAGTTGTCGTTCACATCACACTGCAGCCTCATTTGGTGCCATCAGGGCGCTCAGCTGGAGCAGAATAACAATGCGTACATGTGACACTCTTGAAATACTCCCACCAGCTGTTAGTGCTGGCACTTGACTTGGAGCTAAAAATGAAAGCAGAAAGTGTGATGTAGCAAAATTAGGTGATGTAGGTTACTGTGACACAGCTGAGCCGTTTTTAGCCGTGCTAAAATGCAAAGCATGGTGACGTGAAGATAGACCTACCAACCTGAGCGAGTCCGTCTGAGCCATGCAGGCCCTTATTTCTCCGTGTAGAGGATGAGTATTGTGGTGATGTTGTCCCCTTCCTGTCAAAGTCCTGCTCCTTTCTAAACCAAGCTGCATATATGAAGCGATGTGGATCTTTTATTATAATATTTAAAGATCTTAGCAATTCCGCCGCAAATGGTCAAAAGGCTATTTGAAACATCAAACCCTTTAATGTAATGAAATGGTTGTAAACATCAACAGTTTTCTCCTAGGCAGCGTATGCCTGACGTCCAACACTGGGATATGCTGAACTTTTATATGTTTTTTCAATTTTGGGCGTATACATAGAGTATTCACAACGAGTCCGGAGTATATGTGCAACGACAGACTAACTTATGTACAACGCACGGCAGTGTCATGCCCATAAAAAGATGCATAAGCCAGTGTCCTGAGGAAAGCAGCAATGCGACAGGAGGCGACCGGACTGCATAAAAACATGTATTTGATCGCGTTGTTAACCTAACTGTTTACAGGCCCGCCCAAAAAAGAAGAATAAATAAAAAGAAAAAAGAAAAAGAAAGAGGGTTTGCAGTCGCAGCAGATTCAGCGTCATGTGTGCTAGGTAGTTTGTTGGTCGTGTGCGTGAAGGCAGGGAGGATTCATCACACTCACCTCGTCTCTCACCCTATGATGGGGATGAAGTCTGGAGGAAGTTCCTTCTGTGAACCCCCTTTTATACCAGAACGCCGCCATTAAACAGTAGCTGTAAGTTAGAAACACGTTCAGTGGTCGTCTGGAACACGTCAAATACGTTGATATGCGTTGGAGATTAGTTCTTGATAAGTTACGCATAACGTATGAACAAGTTACTCATAGGTTTTGGATAAGCTGGACACTGCGACTTATGAGTTACTTACAATTAACGTATGTCAACGATCAAATAACTTACCTATAACTTATGGCCCTCGTATGAGCGTAAGCTGGTATACGTGGGGAAATTTTGAGCATGGTTAAAGTTTCTCAATGTACTCGCCGTATGTCGACGTGCGCCATACGGCTCATAACTTATACAAAACGTATCCAACGTATGCCAGCGCTTTGGCCAGATTGTCCGTACGTCAGCCATGCGCTGGTCTAAATCGTCAAGGTGTGACAGGGGCTTTACATTCCGAGAGATGCAACATTTAAACTGGCTAGAAATTAGAATCAATGTTCCCTTATTCATTTTTGTTCCCAGTTTGTTTTTGAGCTCTTGTTCTGTTCATTTTATTCTAAAGTAGTAAATGTGCTCTTTTGCTGCAACGCTGAAAAAAAAAAGTCTGTTTTATTCAATATTACAAAAAAGAAGCAATGAAGTAGCTTTGACTAGGAGAACCAGGAAAGAAAACGGCTTGATTCAGGAATAAGCAAGATGTTGATGATGTAAAGTAAATGTTATGCAGACATAAAAAATAAAATGTTGATAGAAAATACATTAAAAAAACTGACAATTTGGAAATATGGCCAACAGAACAATCTGTCTTCCATTTTTAACAATCTGCTACTACAAAAGCAGCTAAAGTATCTTACAGTTACACGCTCTATTTAAGACAACTGAGATCTGATTACAGTTAGTGCTAACTTTCTTTGAATACATAATAATAATAGTTTATACCCTTAAAACGTGGCTTGAAAAAAAAAACAATTTGGAAAAGTGTTGATTTAAGATGGATGTAGATTATTTTAAATACAGGTTTTGTCACCATCTTGGCGGCTTTGAATTGTCTATTTAATGCAGACATATAAGGTGTATTACAAGTTCAAGCTGCTGTTAAATTATATAATTTTCTTCTGCAGATAATTTATGGATTAAAACAACCCTCTGAATCTATTATTTATCATTTGGGTGCCATGATGACAAACCTGACATAGGTGTAATGATTGGATCTGTGAAAATCAAACTTTCCACCCAGCAGTTAAGTTTAAGCCACTGTTTGCTCGACCTGAATACGTGTTTAATTTAACTGGATGCCCTCTTTATTTATTGCATCTCTCCAGCTTTTATCTCTGCTGGCTTTACTTCCCTTTTTTCAGTTTTCAGCCATCACTGCTGTTTTCACTGATTGTGTTTGCTGCAGAACACAATTTAAAAGGGTGTTTGTTCTATTTTTATTTTTTCCTGGACATATTTTGTTAAATCAAGGCATTTATACCTTTGGTCTCTGGTTGCTTATTTTCTTTAATGTTGGGCAGTTTTCTGTATGTTGATAAAAGAATAATATTACTTCTAATTTCAACACTTTCTTTGTACCCAAAACCTAAAGCAGGTATTTATTTGAGATGCGTATTAAATGGTAAAGAAAAAAAAATATGGCTCACATACGATCATAAAAATATAAGAGGATCTTTACATTTTCATTACTTTCTTTCCAAATAAAGTTTTCTGATTTTATGTTGTTTTTCCACCTAATTCTGGCACACTATTTGAATCTTCCTACTGAAATTGACTCTTTGGATCAAAGTTTCTACAGAGTTCTTATCGAATGTTGATCCTAGGAGAGAAAAAAAAGCAGAAAGATCTCATTCATTTCCAATGTCATTGTGTTTTCATGACATGAAAACAAACCAAACACATTAACATTCAGATCACGCAGCAGGATGCAGAAGATTCAGTGCATTCCCCAAACTGAAATATTCCTGTAAACCCAGGTCATCAATCAGCTTGCAGAGACTCGCACATCTAGGAGGGAGCTGCGTTGTTGCATCTTTGAGCCTCCTTCACTGTTATCAAGGCCCCAATCAGCGAAAGAAGTTTGAGGTATTGAATAGGGCTGTACAATTAATTGCAGTTGCAATATAAATGCTATTTAACAAAACGCAATTTTCAAACCACAGAGGCACTTAACTTTGATTACATTACATTTAACAACATTAAGGCACTGAATTTCTCATTCCAGCCCTTTAGGTGCCAGTAATACACCTTGCGGTCGGAAAAAAATGGGTTTGCAAGGACACAGAAGGAAGGAAAAATACTAGCTAGCAAGTCAACACCTGATCCGCACCATCAGCTCATTTGTCCAAAATATATACCCGGGTCGCCCTCGATTTTACTTTGTAAAAAAATACCTAAATTACATTTTTCCCTCCCTAAAAGTGATAAAGAAGCTCACTAAACTAAGCTCACTAACTAAACAGAAATGGGATCCTGAGCTACTTCCGGAAAACTAACTTTTTCGACTTTGGATTAAAACATAAATCTAGTCTTTTTGAGTTTTATGTTTTCCTTTTGTGTTAAGATTATGGTACATAGTGCGTCATCTAAAGAGAGAAACAACTAAAATACAGATAAATATGGTTTAATCGTAATTTGCAGGACTGCTCTAACCATGTCCGATGATGACGTCACACAAGCAGTTCAACGAAGAAAATGTAAAAAGCATCAAATTGTCTCAGAAATTTTTTAGAGATGCAGTGAAAACATTATTTATTGATTTAAGGATAAAAATAAGTGCTTTTAGTACGGTATACATAATTACATTATTTATAGCGAACTGGATAAATATCTGCTTACACGTGCGCAAATGAGCCGATGGTACAGATAGAGATATAGTGCGCAAATCCATGCATGCAAGTTCAGGTAAGCAGTTTTTCACACAAAGGTTACAATAAAGTCCGGCAAGAAATGGACTTTGTAGAAGCAAGCTTTCGAGATTACCAAAAAACTAAAACCCTGGGGTGAAACATCTAGATGCCTGTGGTTAGTGCAAAAGAACATTGAAACAAAATCGCAATATTGATTCAAATTAACTCCATTTTGACTTATCCCAAAATCGTTCAGCCCTAGCATTGAATTGAGAATTGTCATTTGAATGTCAAAAGCCGCACTTCATGTTAGTCCTAGCATCCACAGCTGGAGAGGAAAAGTGTGAGTAACGTTGATAAGCGATCAGATTAAAACAGGGCTGCAGCAGTGACCTTTATGCGTTATTATAGGAAACTGACAGCGTATACCACCCCCCTACCCCCTGCCCCCCTGTTGCTCTCTCACCACACACTAAGCTGATTATTCAAATGACAAAGATGATCAATCTGGGCGCTCGCCATGTCTGTGTCGAAACCCATTTCCCTCCTGTAACTCAGAGACTTTGTTGATGCTAGCAGGCAGACGTGCTCCAAAGCCCAACGGTGTCGTTCCAGGATCAGAGTCCTTATCGCTCTTAATTTAAGAATCTTTGAGTTTTAATCACCAAAGACTGTTGTTTATCATACATGTGATACGTGTTTGCCCAAAGCAAAGGCCTATCCTTGTTTATCAGTACCTCAATTAACCTGTCCAGGGTTGTGTCAGACGTATGTGGATTTATCGCTGCTCTGCAAGACCAGGCAGGAAGCTGTTTTATGCAGGGACAGTTTTATTGGATCCTGTGAGGGAAAATTAAATTGTTGCTGCTGTAAATCTGAACTATGCTGCTGGATGTGGAGTTTAAGAGCGTTATTAAAATCAAGAATAAGTAAAGGGAAAAAAGTATTTGAATGCAAGTTGCTGTTATGTTGATTCTGTGTTTTTTGTTTCCTCCTTCTCTCGTCTGTAGAAGGAAGTTTAACTGTTTGAACGTTCACAAATAGATTTAAAAAATAAGATAAAGCAATATTT